AATTGAAAACCTTATGAAAAACAGTGAAAAACTGTGAGATAACACCAGAATATTGACTACTAAAATAAGATGAAGAATACCAGAATATTGTCAGAATACTGTCAGATACAGTGCCTAAAGGTGAGCCTCTCAGGTTGGAAGGCACTCAAAATACAAATGGGAAAGAGCTACCTCCTCAAAGTAGAGTTGACTGTGATTACACAAATGAAGTAAAACCTTCATGACCTTCATTTGTTGAGGGTACACAACTGAAAATGAAGATAAATAGCTGTAAATATCCATTAATAATAGCAAAATTTGTTGTTGTTTTTCTTGTTAGGTGCCATCAAGTCGGTACCGACTCTTGGCGACCCTCTGCACAACAGAACAAAACACTGCCCAGACCTGGGCCAACCTCACAATTGTCGCCACACCTGAGCCCATTAATGCTGCCACTTTGCCAATCCATGTCAATAGTGGCCTTCCTCTTTTTCTCTGAACCTCCACCTTACTAAAAATGATATCCTTCTCCAGTGACTGGTCCCTCCTGGCAATATGTCCAAAGTATGAGAGACCATCCTGACCTCCAAGGAGCACTCTGGCTGTACTTCTTCCAAAACAGTTCTGTTGGTTCTTTTGGCAGCCCAGGCACTTTCAATATTATCCTCCAACACCATAACTCAAAAGCATCAATTCTTCTACAGTCTTCCTTATTCATTGTCCAGCTTTCGCATGCATATAAGGTTATAGTAACATGAAATGTATGAAGTATGAATGTAAGAAAATTGCATATTGTCAAAAATAAAATAGAATGCAGAAACTTTGATATCCTAGGAATTCATGAGCTGAAATGGACTGTTATTGGCCATTTTCATTCTGATAATCACATGGTTACTACCCTAGAAATGACAAACTGAAGGAGAATGGCATCATATTCATCATCAAAAAGAACATTTCAAGATCTGTCTTGAGGTACAATGCTGTTTATAATGGGATAATAACCATATGCCTACAAGCAAGACCAGTTATACCACTATTATTCAAATTTATGCACCAACCATTAAAACCAGCAATGATGAAACTGAAGAATTCTATCAACTTCTTCAGTCTGAAATTAAACAAAAATGCAATCAAGATGTACTGATAATTACTGGTGATTGGAATGCAAAGGTGGGAAACAAAGAGGAAGGATCAGTAGATGGAAAATATGTCCTTGGTGATAGAAATTATGCTTGAGATGGTATGATAGAATTTAGCAAGACCAGTGGCTTTTTAATTTTAAATACTTTTTTAAACATAAAAGACAACTATACAAAAGACCTCACCAGATGGAATACGCAGAAATCAAGTTAATTACATTTGTGGAAAGAGACTAAGCAGCTAAAGTCAGGCCAGGGACAAACAGTGAAACAGACCATCAATTGCTTAAATGCGAGTTCAGACTGAAGCTTAAGAAAATAAAAACAAATAAAAAAGATCCAAAATAAGACCTTGAACATATCCTACCTGAATTTAGAGATCATCTGAAGAACAGATTTGATACATTAGACACTAAAGACCAAAGACCAGAAGAGTTGTTGAATCACATCAAGAATATCATACAGGAAGAAAGCAAAAAGTCATTAAGAAGATGAGCAAGAAGGAAATGCCAAAAAGGATGTCAGAAAAGACTCTGAAACTTCATCTCCAGTGTAGAAATGCTAAAAGTAAATGGAAGAAATGAGGAGTTAAAAAAGCTGAATAGGAAATTTCAAAGGGCAGCTTGAGATGACAAAGTCAAATATTATGACAAAATGTGCAAAGATCTGGACTTAGAAAATATGTTCAGCATTTTTCAAGCTGAAGGATATGAAGAACGACCTCAAGCCTCAAATTGCAATATTGAAGTATTCTATGAGCAAAGTATTGAATAATTCAGAAAGCATGAAAAGAACATGGAAGGAATACACAAAGCTTCTATACCAAAAAGAAATGGTTGATGTTGAACCATTCCAAGTGATAGCATATAATCAATAGTCAATGACAACAAAGGAAGAAATCTAAGGTGCATTCAAGGCATAGGCAAAGAACAAGGCTCTGGAAAGTGATGGAATACAAACTGAAGTAGCTCAACAAACTGATACAGCACTAGCGGCACTCACTGATATATGCCTAGAAATTTGGAAGACAGCTACCTGGCCAAGTCATTGGAAGAGATCTATATTTGTGCCCATTCCAAAGTGAAGTAACCCAATGGAATGCAGAAATCAACAAACAATAATATCAATATCACATGCAGGCAAAATTTTGCTAAAGTAATTCAAGAACAGCTGCAAGAGTATACTGACACAAAATTGCCAGAGGTTCAATCTGGATTCAGAAGAGGATGTGTAATGAACAATATCACTGTTGATGACAGATGGATCTTGGTGGAAGCAGAGAATACCAGAAAGATGTTTGCCTGTACCTTATTGACTAAGCAAAGACTTTAGATTTTGTGGATCATGACAAGCTATGGACAACATTGCGGAGAATGAGTACTCCGGAACACATAATTGTGCTCATGAGGAACCTGTACATAGACCAAGAGTCAGTTGTTTGAACAGAACAAGGGAACACTGAATGGTTTCAAATTAGGAAAGGTGAGTGCTAGGGTTGTATTCTTTCACCATATTCAGTCTGTATACTAAGCATATAAACCAAGAAGCTGGATCATATGAAAAAGAATGTGGCATCAGAATTGGAGAAAGACTCTTTAACAACCTGTGATAAACAGATGATACAACCTTGCTTTCTGAAAGTGAAGAGAACTTAAAATACTTACTGATAAAGCTCAAAGATCACAGCCTTCGGTATGGGTTGCGCCCATGTAAAGAAATCAAAAATCCTCACTAATGGAACAATAAATAGCATTAAGAAAAAATGGATTGATTGAAGTTGTCAAAGACTTCTTTGTATTTTAAATAATCATTAATACTCATGAAAGCAGCAGTAAACAAATTAAACAATGTATTCCATTAGCCAAATCTGAACAAGATCTCTTTAAAGTGCTCAACAGCTAAAGTGTCAGTTTGAGGAGTTAAGTATGCCTGACTCAAGTCATGGTATTTTTAATAACCTCATATGCTTGTGAAAGTTGAACAGTAAATAAGGAAAATGAAGAATTGATGCATTTGAGTTATGGTGTTAGAGGAGAATATTACCAGTACCATAGACTGCCAAAAGACCAAACAAATCTGTGTTGGAAGAAATTCAGCCAGAATGTTCCTTGGAGTCAGGATGGCCAGACTTCATCTTTCATACTTTGGACATATTATAAGGAGATACCAGTCCCTGGAGTAAGATAGCATGCTTGGTAAAGTGGAGGGTCAGAGAAAAAGAGGGAGACCCCTAATGAAATGGGCTCAATCAGAGCAACACTTACAAGGTTGGCAAAGAATCAGACAGTATTTCATTCTATTATGCACACGGTCGTTATGAGTTGATACTGACTCTATGGAATCTAAAATAATAAAATACCTAACAACAAAAGGAATTTTTTTTTCTTTTAGATACTCTTGTGAATAGGTTTATTTCCTTATTTTCTTTTCAGATGGTTTATTCTTGGTGTATAAAAATGTACCTGGTTTTTGTGTGTTGAATCATAAGCTGATATTTATTGATCTTATTTATCATAGATTCTTTGGGGTATAGTAAGTCACCAGATATATTTACTTAAATCCAACTTTCAGAAAACTTTCATATGTCCTTTAACATCACATAAATTTGCCTTCATTTGAAATGATTTAGCCAACACCCATCATCAAAAAATTCCTCATCACAATTACCTTTTCTTGCTATATGTGCAGCTTTTAAATAATGGAAAATGCTTCGAGATTCTTCTTGCTCTCAAGTGAGGATGAATAATAATGGCATGCACCTGTTACAAAATACCTATAAATTCAACTAAAAACACAGGAATTGATTTCATTTGTAATAAGAGACTGCCTGTATTCTACATGGAGAAAAGCTATCTTTGAAAGTGGATAGCTTTACTTCTTTATTCCCAATTTAGATTCCTTGTTTCTTTTCCTTGACTAATTGTTCTAGTTAGAACTACTGCTTCAATCCTGAATAGCAATGGTAAGAGTTGATACTGGATTCTCTCAAAATCCTTTTCTGTCTCAAGTAAGATGGTTATGTAGTTATTTCCTTTGTTTTATTGATGTGGTGTACTACATTGACTGATTCCCTAATTTTGAAACTACCTTGCATTATTTGGATAAATCCCACATGACAGTGGCTAATCCTTTTAATTTTCTTTTGAGTCCAATTTACTAGTATTCTGTAGTGGATTTTGTGTCTATATTTATCATAGGCATTAGTATGTTCTCTTCTTGGGGGATCTTTGTCTTGCTTTGGTACCTGGATGACGCTAGTCTCACAGAATGAGTGAGGGAGAGGACTCTGCTCTTCTATATTTTTGAAAATATTTGAGAAGGAGTAGCATCACTTATTCAGTAAATGTTTCATAAAATTTCCCAATTAAGCCATATGCTCGTGGATTTTTCTGTGTTGGGAGTTTTTTTTATGGTGTTTTGATCTATTCATGTGTTATGTGTCTGTTGATTTATTGTATTTCTTCTTGAGTTAATTATTTTATGGTCTTTATGAATTTGTTATCTTTATATGTCTGTGATCTTCTAACATTATTCAAAATTCTTCAGTTGTGTGTCTTTAAAGTAGATTTGTTGGGGGAAAATTTTTTAAGTGAATAGCAGAGAAACCAATGAGGACAGAGTTTTAGGAACAATTATTTTGCCACATTTGAGAAGTGTTTCCAAAGATGGTGTATGGTCTTAAGTGTAAATGCTTTACTGTGAATTTTCTAAATTCAAAATATACAAGGAGGCTTTTTAAAAATAAAAGCCTGTTAAAAGATTGAATTAAAAGATAATGGAATTTTTCTACAAATTTTGTGAAGTTCCCTTGTAGACATAAAACTTGGTTCCTTTATTCCTTTGACCAGCCTTTGTTTATTTTTACAAAGGTGTCTCTGCAACATGGGACCACAGAATCTAACACGTGTCTCTGAATTCCTACTCCTGGGCCTTTCAGAAGATCCAGAGCTGCAGCCCCTCCTCTTTGGAATGTTCCTGTCTATGTACATGGTCACAGTGCTTGGAAATTTGCTCATCATTTTCACCGTCAGTTCTGACCCCCAACTCCACAACCCTATGTATTTCTTTATCTCAATCTTATCCATAGCTGACATTGGTTTGATTTCAGACACAATCCCAAAGATGCTTATAAATTTATACACACACCATCGCATTATCACCTATGCTGATTGTCTGATTCAGTTGTGTTTCTTAATTTTTTTTGGAAGTATGGACAACCTACTTTTGATGGTGATGGCCTATGATAGATTTGTGGCCATCTGTCACCCACTTCACTATCCCATTATTATGAACCCCTACTTTTGTGGCTTGCTGGTTTGGGTGTCTATTTTTCTCAGTGTTTTGGAATCCCAACTGCACTACTTGATGATGTCACTACTTACCTTCTGTACCGAAATGGAAATTCCTCATTTCTTCTGTGACCCTTCTCAACTCCTCAACCTTGCCTGCTCAAAGACAACCACTAAAAACATATTAGTGTATTTTATCGCTGCTATATTTGGTGGTGTTCCAATTTCAGGTATCCTATTCTCTTATACCCGAATTATTTCCTCCATTCTGAAAATCCCTTCGTCAAGTGGAAAGCATAAAGCCTTTTCCACCTGTGTATCTCATTTTTCAGTAGTTTCCTTATTTTATGGAACAGGTATTGGAGTGTACCTGAGTTCAGTTGTTTCACCCTCTCTCAAGAGTGGTGCAGCAGTCTCAGTGATGTACTCCGTGGTCACCCCCATGCTGAATCCCTTCATCTACAGCCTGAGAAACAAGGATATCAAAAGGGCCATGCAGAGGCTCATCAAGAGACCAGCATAATATCATTACAACATCATATATATCTTATCCATATATATCTTATCTATTTGTGTAGTGTAGGTATTTTAATGCTTATTATTAATTCTCAACCTAGGCTTCATATTGGAATCATCTGGTGAACTTTAAAGATACGTATGCCTGAGTCACACCTCCAGAGATTCTGATTCATTTAGACTTAGTAGTGTAAATGAACTAATTTAGACTAAGAGGCTCCTTTAGATTAAGGAGCTCTGGTAATGTAGTGGTACGAGTTGGGCTGCTAATAGAAAGGTCAGCAGTACAAAAATACCAGAGGTTCTGTGGGGGGCAAATTAGGCTTTCTGCTCCTGTAAAGGTTTACAGCCTCACTGTCTTTTGAATCTTGGTTTCCCTTGCCTACCATTGTAAAATAGATACTTGATGGGGAGAGAAAGGAATAACCAGAAACATCACAATAGAAAGCTTGTAAGTCCGTCTTCAGCTTATAACTGATTGGAATACCTTAAAAGGGGCTAGAAGTTGCCCAGGAAAGAGGCTTCCTGTGGAGCCTTTGCATTGCATAAGACCATAGGTGGAACATTTAACCCCATCCAGAATTATCTGAGGTGGGAAATTTCCACTTGAAAGGATAAGTAGAATGGAGATACTTCATGAAAGAAAGTCCGGGAGGAAAAATCAAAAACAATAATAGCAGTCTGATTGTTTAATACAAGAACACACAAGCTGTTCACCTGGGAGCCACCAAGGCAAGTGGCCTGGTCCCCTCAGGACAAACCCCCTTCCAAGACTGAGACTCAAGGGGAATACACAAGCAAGCATGTGGTCTGGCTGATGCCCACATTGGTCACTGATAAGGGGAAAAAACAGCAATGAAGTTGTGAGCTGAGTCAGACTACATTCATTCAATAGACTTTTGTGAACCCAGGTGGAGACCTGGTGGGCCAGCAGTATGGCAAGACCCAAGGACTCCTGGGCCCAGAGGCAGTGACATGGCCACAGAAGACTAAAGCAGAGAGTAAAGTGTCCAGCTGCCAGCTGATATGAAGTGAGGGGAGATGCACAAGAACACCCATACTTGCAGATAGTACCTACTTGACCAGGCTTCAATGGCTGGATGATCAGAACTCGACTAGAAGAAGAAAGAAGAGGAAAAAAAAAAAAGAGTAACCTGCTACAATTTGATGAACTTTACCTATACTCATGGATGCAGTAGCTCAAAAAAGGGAACAAATCTCTACAGCGAGGATCACTCCCACCCCGTCAGTACACAGGGTTGACAGAGATGGGCAACTTAGACATTGGCTACCCAAAATGGAATGAGGCACAAAGGCAAGAAATGACTGGCTTACAAGCTTTAAAGAGGGAGCCTAGTTCCAGATAGGGTGGGGGAAAGTAGAATCACCACTGAAAGATTTCCAATCGGTTGCGACCAGGCTGACAAAAGGAAATGGGGATAAGACTTTTGTGGTACAATATTGAATAATTGTCATCAGAACTGACAGTGACGGTAGGAAATATAGAGGTAGATGTTTTTTGACTAAAGGAGGAGAGTGATTGATTTTGCAGCCCAGGAGCGAAGGTTCCTGAGACCATCAAGTGAGAAGAGCAGAGTGCAGGACTCTACCCAGGGAAGCAGTGACACCAGAAGTGGAGGTACAGATGATGATGTGGATAGATGGAGCAGCTGGGGACACTGGACTCAGGAAGGGAGAGGGACTGTAGGCTGATGGCCTGGAGGCAGGCCTGGGGGGTGTACCCTTTGGTTGTTTGATGATGTATGGAAGGGACTATAATCATTGCAATGAAACAAAATACAATAAGATGAATGTAAAACATGTTCTCTCATGTAAACCCACATAATTCACAATAAAAACTTACAAAAAAAAAAAAATGTTTACAGCCTCAGAAACTCCGTACAGGGTTGCTATGAGTCAGAACCAACACCACGGTGCATAATCTCCAACACCACCATGCGTGAGTTGCACAACCAGAGATTATGATTCATTTGGACTAGATAGTTTGATGGACCAAAAGACTTTTCAACGCACTCTAGGAGATACCTGTGAGCAGTCAAGTTTGAAATCCGCTAATTGGTTGTTTGAACAGAACATGGGAACACTGAATGTTTAAAAATTAAGAAAGGGTTGTGCAACAAGGTTGTATTCTCTCACCATACTTATTCAACCTGTATGCTGAGCAAATAAACCAAAAAACTGGGTTCTATGAAGAAAAACATGGCATCAGGATTGGAGGAAGACTCATTAACAACCTGCGATGTGCAGATGATACAACCTTGCTTGTTGAAAGTGAAGAAGACTTAAAACATTTACTGATGAAGATCAAGTGCACAGATTTCAGTATGGATTACACCTCAATGTTAAGAAAACAAAAAATCCTCACCACTGGACCAATATACAACATTTTTGTCAAGGGAGAAAAGATTGAAGTTGTCAAGGACTTCATTCTTCTTGGATCAACTATCAACACTCGTGGAAGCAGCAGTCAAGAGATCAGATGATGTATTGCATTAGGCAAATCTGCTGCACCAGACTTTTTTTTTTTTTTTTAGTGTTTTATTGTGAATTATGTGATAGTTTACATGGGAGAACATTAGTTTTACATTCATCCTATCATATATCATTTCGTTGCCATGGTTACAGTCTCCTCCATGCATCATCAACCAACCAAAGGGTATACACAAGCCTGCCACCCAGTCGTCAGCACACAGCCCTTCTCCCTCTCTGAGTCTAAAGTCCCCAGCTGTTCCATCTCTCCACATCATCATCTCTGCTTCCATTTCAGGCATCACTGCTTTCTCTGGTAGGGTTCCGCTCTCTGCTCTTCTCCCTTGATGGTCCCAGGAACCTCTGCTCCTAGACTGAAAAGTTAATCACTCCCCTCCTTGCTACAAGATGTCTACCTTCACATTTCCAACCCTCATAATAAGTCCTGATAACAATTATTCACTGTTGTATCACAAGAGACCTATCCACATTACATTTCATCAGCACAAGACCTTTTTAACGTGTTGAAGGGCAAAGATGTCAGCTTGAGGACTAAAGTGCGCCTGACCCAAGCCATGGTGTTTTCAGTAACCTCATATGCATGTGAAAGCTGGACAGTGACTAAGGAAGACCTTAGAATAATTGATGCCTTTGAGTTATGGTGTTGGAGAATATTGAAAGTGCCATTGGCTGCCAAAAGAACCAATAGGACTGTTTTGGAAGAAGAGCAGCCAGAGTGCTCCTTAGAGGCCAAGATGGCCAAATTTTGTCTCTCATACTTTGGACATATTGTCAGGAAGGACCAGTCACTGGAGAAGAATATCCTGTTTGATAAGGTGGAGGGTGAGAAAAAAAAAAAGGAAGATCCCCAATGAGATGGATTAGCCAAATGGCAGCATCGATGGACTCAAGCATGGCAACAGTAGTGAGGTTGGCCCAGGATCAGACAGTGTTTCATTCTGCTGTGTGTAAGGTCGCTATGAGTCGGTACCGAGTCGATGGCACCTAACAACAACAACAGCAATCAGTTGAAACCATTGCTCAAAATTGACTAATCTTCATTAAATCCTTTATTTCTTATGGGCAGATGCTGAAGATCTTAAAGCCATCAGGGCTCACAGTGGGGAAGATATTAAAGAACTTCAGGCAATGTGATTTTCCTTAATATTTCTAATCATTTTTCTTTAAAATATTTCCTCCTTTCAGACCCAAAGTTGGTCATATGTCCTGGATATTAAACTCTTGCTCTCTACCCTCAACTAAACTTTCCTGGTTTTAAACCATGTTGTTGCTGCTATTGTTAAGGTTCATCAAGTCAGTTCTGACTCATACTGACCCTGTATAGAGTTCCAAGGAACAGCTAGCGGATTTTAACTGCTGACCCTGTGGTTCACAATCCAGTGCTGGTCCCTTAAACCATGTAGTATCTCCTTATTCTGTTGAAACAATTGCCTATTGATTTAGGTAAAGGTTCTACATGAGCAAAATTAAATGTTCAGGAATTTGCATTCTTCATAATATTATTCAATTTGTTTTGAATCACAAGGTTAGATGACTTTAGATAGTCAATAAAGCACAAGTAAACATCTTTATGGTATTCTATACTTTCAGTCAAGATCCATTGACATCTGGAATGATATCCTTTATTCTGCTTCTTCTGAGTTCAATTTGAATTTAGGGCAGTTCCCTGATAATGTACTACTGCAATTAGTTTTTAATCATCTTCAGCAAAATTTTACTTAAATGTCATATTAATAATAGTGTTGAATAACTGTCACCTTTATCTAGGATGGGCACAAATATGGATCAATTCCAGTCAGTTGGTCAGATAACTGTCTTCCCAATTTATTAGCATAGATAAGTGATTATCTCCAGTGCTGCTTCAGTTTGTTGATACATTTTAATTGGTAGTCTGTCGATGTCTAGAATCGTATTTCTCACAAATTCCTTAATGCAGGTTAGACTTCTTCCTTCCATAGGATTTGTTCTTGATCATATTTTACCTTTTTAAATGATTGAACATCAATCAATTCCTTTGATGCATCTTTTGCCGTTCAATATTTTACCCACAGAATACTTTAATACTGTAACTCATAGACTGAATGTTTTTCAGATCTTTTAACTTGAGAAATGCCTTTTAGTTTTCTAACTTTCAGGTCTTTGCACATTTCATTATAATATTTTACTTGCTCTTCTTGAGCTGTGCTTTGAAATCCTCTGCTCAGGTCTTTACTTCATCATTTCTTCCATTCACTTTAGGTATACTACATTCAGAGCAAATCCAGAGTCTCTTCTGACATCCATTTCATCTTTTTTTTCTTCCCTGTCTTTAGCTATCTTCATGTAAAATGTCTTGATGTCATCTTATGACTTGTCTGGTTCTCAGTCACTAGTGTTCAAAGCATCAAATCTCTTCTTGTGATGGTCTCTAAAGTCAGGTGGAAAATAATCAAAATTGTAATTTGGCTCCTGTAAACTTAATATTTTTCATTTCAGTTTGAACTTGAGTATGAGCAT